TCTCTCTGTCAAATAAATAAATAAAATCTTTAAAAAAATATATTATTTTTAAAAAATATACGTATGTGAAGTAAAATAAGTGTCAGTCAAGGTTTTTCAGTTTATTTGGTGCATTTTATTTATAAATAATTTCTATGCAGAGTTGACATGTTTTTCCTAGGAAGAAATTAAGAATTCCAATCACGTATCAGTTTTTCTCTACTTTAGGTGGATTAGTAATAGAGAAACAGTGCTTTGATCCCAATTGTACACACATTGTTGTGGGACATCCACTTCGAAACGAGAAGTATTTAGCCTCAGTGGCAGCTGGGAAATGGGTGCTTCATCGCTCCTACCTGGAAGCATGCCGGACTGCTGGACACTTCGTGCTGGTGTGTATTCAAATTAATATGAAGAATCATTTTTCGTTAAAAGTAATTGTTCTAATAATTGATTCTAGTTTTTACACTAACCATTCATATAATTGAAATAACCAAATACGACCAATGATTATACCAATTTTACAAGGTCCACATTAACAGAGCAAAAAAATTTAGAGATCACAGACCCAGATTCTCAGTTATATGAGTTTTATTTAATTTTAATCTGGGCTTTTTTTTTTTCCCTCTTTGGAATAACATTAGAAAATTTCAGGATTACCTCATTGTAAGCTTTTTATCCTTACTGCCAGCCCATTAAATATTAAATTGTTTGGGGACGCATGGGTGGCTCAGTCAGTTAAGCATCTGCCTTTGGTTCAGGTCATGATCCCTGGGTACTGGGATCAAGTCCCGCATTGGCTCCTTGTTCGGTGGGGAGCCTGCTTCTCCCTCAGCCCCTCCCCGCTGCTCATGCTCGCACTCAGCTCGGTCTCCCTCTGACAAATAAAATCTTTTAAAAAAAGAACATTTTTTTTTAAATATTAAATTGTCTGAAATATTTTGGTCCCTAACTAACCATCACAGTAATATCTATCATGTAGTTTTTGAAGTTTTCGATCTTGATTGAAAGGGATCTGATTTCTATGGACAGGTAATCAAGGTGTTAACACATACCTCCACTGAGAACATGTCCTTCTGTGAAGTTCATCTTAAAATGGATGAAGCCCAATAATCTATATATTACCAATTACTAAGGTGTAGTTATCTGTATTTCTTAGGAATGTATACAGTATTTTTCTGATTTCTAATTAAAAGCCAGATATATTTGACCCTCCTATGAAGCCAAATTAATGTACATTTCCTTCCTCTATGCTCATAAACTGATGCTTATTTAGTGCTCTGTATTTATAACAATTGAATGTATAGCTTTTAACTTTTACGTGATCGTGGACTCCTTGAGGACATATTGTAGGACCAGATCCAAAGTTTGTTGTACTAATTGTCTAGGAAGAAGACTATGAATGGGGAAGTAGTTCCATACTCGATGTTTTGACTGGAATCAATGTTCAGCAACGAAGACTAGCACTTGCAGCAATGAGATGGAGGAAAAAACTCCAGCAAAGACAAGAATCGGGCATCGTTGAGGTATTAACATATATATGGTGATATGAACAGCATTCAGTGTCATGACTATTACAGATTTTAATTTTAAGAGAATGTGCTTATTAACAAAATAATAATTCTTGTCTTTTATGCTTTGTTGATATACTTAGTTCGGGCATTCTAAATTGGGCTTAATATTAATTCCTAATTCTTTTAATTATGATTGCGAGGAAGATATATATAATGTTGATGGCTCTTTTAAAAATATATGTGTAAATGGGGTGCCTGGGTGGCTCAGGTGATTAGGCATCCAATTCTTGATTTTAACTCAGGTCATGATCTTAGGGTGATGAGATCAAGCCCCGCCATCAAACTCCTCGCTCAGCCAGGAGTTTGCTGGAGATTCTCTCCCTCTTCCTCTGCCTCTCCCCTCACTGTGCATGTGCACACTAGCGCGCATGCTCTCTCTCAAATACGTAAATCTTTTTTTATTTTATTATTATTTTTTAAAGATTTTATTTATTTGACAGAGAGAGACACAGCCAGAGAGGGAACACAAGCAGGGGGAGTGGGAGGGAGAAGCAGACTTCCAGCGGAGCAGGGAGCCCGATGCGGGGCTCGATCCCAGGGCGCTGGGATCATGACCTGAGCCGAAGGCAGATGCCTAACGACTGAGCCACCCAGGCACCCCCATAAATCTTTTTTTTTTAAAAGTAAAAAGGCATAAAAATAATTTAAATATATGTGTAAAATGTGACCCATACTGTATTTCTTCCAAAGACTCTTCAGCATCTGCCTTCAGGGGTTCTTAATGTGGGATCCACAGACTCTTCCAAAGGAGTTGTAGATCACATTCAGGAAGGCTGTTTATACACTTTGGATGGGGCAGGGAATACATCCTTATTTTTACTAACCTCCAATTGAAAACATTTCCTTTTACTATAGAAGTCTAGGTAAAAATCACAACACTATTAATAGTACTTGTGATTTTACCCCAACAGAAATAAGATATCTTTGCTTTGCATTATAATTCCAAGTATCTTGAGATACTGCTTATGTTCACTTTTTTTAATTGAAATATAGTTGATGCACGGTGTTACATTAGTTTCAAGTGTGTAACAGATTTGACAGCTATTCATTATGCTCACCACAAGTGTAGCTACCATCTGTCTTTATACTTTAAAATTATAATAATCTATCCAGCCACCACTAGGTCTTTTATTTAATTCATTAATACAGAAGCACATCTATTATGTCACAAATTTGTAAATATTTTATTTTTAATAAAATGGGTTTTTTGGTAATCCTTTACACTTTATGTTAAAACCAGTATTTTAAAACATTATTAATATGGCACAAATTACATTTCAATAAAGCTGTTTCTTTAAAAGAATTATTTAGAGAACAGATCCATAGGTTTCACTGAACTGTCAAAGGGGTCCATGGCTCACATAAAGGTTAGAAACCCAAGTTTTAAATAATCTTGTGCAATGTATTCTGAGTTCTCTACTGTGTCCAAGCCCTTGTTAGCCTTAATTCCCTTCTTTTAGAGTAATTCCACTGGCTCTTGTTGTTATTCCCTAGTGAAATATTTTATATTTCTGATTCGCAAACATTTTCAAGAGAAATATAATGGGGGCTTCATCTAATTTGAGAAGTTGTGCATTAAGTTCTACCCTGGATTAATTATAAGAAAAAATACAACAAAAGGCTAAACAAAAGTCAAGTTGCTTTGTTTTCATATTAATCATTAAACATTTTCCTTCATTCTTCAAGTATTTATTGATGACCTACTATGTGCCAAACACCATGGCTATGTGTTTTCAGAGTATTCTGACCAGAGACAATTACCACTGTGGCAGATGGTAAAGGTTATAAGATTATTTGTTGACATAAAACTGAATTTACAGATAAAATAATGTATTATTTGCATTTATTTCCCAAATAATTTCAACACTGATTATTTTTTCATTTGTAGGGGGCATTTAGTGGGTGGAAAGTTATCTTATATGTTGACCAATCCCGAGAAGCAGGATTCAAACGCCTTCTTCAGTCAGGAGGAGCAAAGGTTTGTTTGTATTCAGTCAATTTACAGAATTTTTTACACAAATTATTTTCCAAACAAGATTGCTGTGATCAGTTCTTAATTTTCGGTACTTTGTGAAATGACAATCCTTAAGTACAGATTTTACAGTTGAATTACTCTGGGACACTGATAGCTTCTTATTTCTTTAGGTACTACCTGGTCATTCTGTACCTTTGTTTAAAGAAGCCACACATCTCTTTTCTGACTTCAATAAACTGAAACCAGATGACTCAGGAGTTAATATAGCAGAAGCTGCCGCACAAAATGTGTACTGCTTGAAAACAGAGTACATTGCTGATTATCTGATGCAGGTTTGTAAGATTTTGTCCTTGATCTCCTCATCACCAGAGATAGGCTTATATATATAGGGATGTGACCACACAGCAAAACCCTTGGCTTGTTTATTAATAGAATGTTTGGCTCCAGTTGTTCACTTTCATTTCATTCAGTTTCATTCTACTTTTTATAATATTGAGTACCATGTAAACATTTAGCTTGGAGTTAAATGAAGCAGGTATAAAAATCTAGGTACCTCTAAAAGCTTTAAAAGTGCCCTTTATAATGTTGGAATATTGCTGTTCACAAATAGCCTAAGTTTTGATTTGAATGGGCAAAGAAAAATCTTTCTGATGCCAGAACACCTAAAATGCCATCAGGAATCAGCAAGGTATGACACATGATAATAAATGTCTTACTACAAAGGATTTCAAACATAATGGCATAGAAATAAGGGGAAGCCAAAACTCAGCCTGCTGTGTAATTTTTACTGTTTGTGTTTGGGAGTTGCTCAGGATATATAGAAAGAATGGCTAAAACATAAACAATAAAACCTTTGTCATAAAGCAGTGGGATGTACTGATTGGAATTGGTAAGCCAATACTAACTCCTAGAAACACCTAAATCACTTTTTTTAAAAGCTCAAGTTTTTTTGTTCCCTGCTTTTCTCAGGGTTGTATTGTGTGTCAGACACTAGATTTCTGGAGGAATGCAGTGGGGGGAGTGGGCTGCTCTGTATTTCTACATCTGAGCTCATTATTTCCTACCTAGCTCTCAGAAGTAGGTAAAACAGAATACTTCTGTGGGGGCAAAGGAGTAGACTAGGGAAGGGAGAGTAGTGACTTCATGTTCAAGTTCATGGTCAAGATAAGCCAAGCACAAGTAAGGCTCTTGAGATAGGCCCACCCCAGTGTTCTGACCTCAGGTTAAATGCTGTGGGGGGGTGGGGAGGTGGCGGTGGGCATTAATTAAAAAGCTGGGTGCAGTGGCTGCAGGGATCTTGGTGGTGACAGCCTTCAACATGTCCTTAGCCATACTGCTCCAATCTGGATGGTCACCCTCTACTTCTACAAACTGGTGTCATCCCAGGATCTCCATTCACCATCCTTTCTCTTCTCTGTTGGATCTCCTGTTTCTGTATCCCATGTCATCCTGATTTGCTCTCATTTGGTTGAAGATCATCTTATAGTAACTTCTTGAGAAAGCACATGGGAGATAAACTGAGATTTTCTTTGTGTGAAAATTCTTTTTTTTCTGTGATTGCATTCTTTTATCGTTTGGATGGGCATCAAATTCTAGGTTGGAACCTATTTTCTCCTTAGACTTTTGATTGCTTATCTCCTTGCTTCTAGTATTGCTGTTGAGTAGTTAAAGCCATTTTGATTCATAATCTGTTATATGTAACTAATCTAGTAGGAAGCTCTTTTTGTCCCTAGTTTTCTGAAATTTCAAAATGATAGGCTATCATGAGAGCCTCTTTTTATTATATTGCACATGGTAGGCCTCTTCTGGTTTGGTAACTTGTGTCTTTCAGTTCTGGGAAATCTTGAATTATTTCAATGATGATTTTTTTCCCTCCACTTTCTGTTCTCTCTAGTACTTCTGCTACTTGTATATTGGATTTTCTTATTTCATCACTATTTTTATAATCTTCACTTTTTGAGAGGTTCCCTCAGTTCAGTCTTCTCCTTTTATCAGCTCTTCATTTTGCTATCATGTTTTTAATAAGACCTTTTTAAAAGTTTTTTGAATTTACTTTTAATTTTTTAATATCTTTTTTGCTTCATAGATGTAATACCTTCTACTGGATCTCAGAGGATTTATTGATTTTTTTTTTTTTTAACTTATTTCAGTATATTCTCTATCCACTAAACTGCATTTTCCTCTTTGTTTGGGTCTTTGTCTAAGCTGATTGGAAGTACTGAGCACACAGTTGGGTCTTGGCAGTTTCGATCCGGATGCAATAGTCTTGGTGGTCTAGTTGTTGGGGACTGTCTTCTGGGTTCATACTTGCATATACTTCTTGAATTGTTTCAGTTTATCCAAAGAGGAGTCTTCCAGTCTGCCTAAAGGAGGAATCTGGCCACCTTTTTTTTTTTTTTTGAGATACAATGACATATGACATTAATTTCAGATGTTCAGCATTACAGTTGTATATATTCATGACTATATAGGCAAAATTATCACCATACATAATGACAGATTTTCTCTCTTATGATAAGAACTCCCAAGATTGTGTCTCTTACCGACTTTCAAATATACCATGCAATATTAACAACTATAGTCACCATGTTGTATATTACATCCTCAGGGCTTATTTTATAACTGTAAGTTTGTACCTCTTGTTCACCCTTACCCATTTCCCCCAGCCCTCACACCCTGCATCTAGCAACCCCCAGTCAGTTCTTTGTATCTGTCCCATTTGGGGTTTTTGTTTTGTTTTTTGTTTTATTTTGTTGTTTTATTTTTTTAAGATTTTATTTATTTATTTGACAGAGAGCGCACGAGCAGGGGGAGTGCAAGAGGGAGAAGCAGGCTCTTTACTGAGCAGGGAGCCCGATGCAGCACTCAATCCCAGGATCCTGGGATCATGACCTGAGCCGAAAGCAGATGCTTAACTGACTGAGCCACCCAGGCACCCCTGTTTTTTATATTAGGTTCCACTTGTAAGTGAAATCATCTAGTATTTGTCTTTCTTTTTCTGACTTATTTCACTTTGCATCATGCCATCAAGGTCCATCCATGTTGCTGCAGTTGGCAGGGTTTCCTTGGCGGAAATATTTTTTTATGGCTGATTAATCCATTGTGTGTGTGTGTGTGTGTGAATTTTCTTTATCCATCTGTCAGTGGACACTCAGGTTTTCATATCTTAGCTATTGTAAATAATGCTGCAGTGAACATAGGAGAGCAGATATCTTTTTGAATTAATGTTTTTATTTCTTTTGGATAAATACATAGAGGTTGGAACTGTTGAATCATAAGGTAGTTCCTTTTTTTTTTTTTAAGATTGTATTTAACATAGTGTTATTAGTTTCAGGTGTGCAATACAATGATCCAACAGTTGCTCAGTGCTCATCAAACTAAGTGTACTCTTAAGGTAGTTATATTTTTAATTTTTTGAGGAAAAAAATAATGGCTGCATCAGTTTACATTCCCACAAAAGTACACAAGAGTTCTCGGGGCACCTGGGTGGCTCAGTCGGTTAAGCGGCTGCCTTCGGCTCAGGTCATGATCCCAGGGTCCTGGGATCGAGTCCCGCATCGGTCTCCCTGCTCTGCGGGGAGCCTGCTTCTCCCTCTCCTGCTTCTCTGCCTACTTGTGTTCTCTCTCTATCTCTCTGTCAAATAAATAAATAAAATCTTTAAAAAAAAAAAAAGTACACAAGAGTTCTCGTTTCTCCATATCCTCATCAACACTTGTCTTTTTGATAACAGCTATTCTAACATGTGTTAGGTAATATCTTGTTATGATTTTGATTAGCATTTCTTTGATGATTAGTGACGTTGAGCGCCTTTTCGTATACCTGTTGACTATCTGTGTCTTTGGGAAAATGTCTATTCAGATCTCTGCCCATTTTTTAATCAGATGGTTTGGGATATTAACCCCTATCAGACAGATGATTTGCAAATATTTTCTCCCTTTCTTAGGTTGCCTTTCCTTTTGCTGATGGTGTCCTTTGCTATGCATGAGCTTTTTAGTTTGATGTCTCCCCACATGTTAATTTTTGCTTGTGTTGCTTTTCATTTTGGTGTGAAATCCAAAAAATTTTTACCAAGACCAATGTCAGGGAGCTTGTGACGTATGTTTTCTTTTAGTTTTATAGTTTCATGTCTTTCATCCAAATCTTTAATCCATTTTGAGTTTATTTTTGTGTATGCTATAAGATAGTGGTCCTGTTTCAGTCTTTTGCGTGTAGCTGTCTAGTTTTTCTAACACCATTTATTGAAGAAACTGTCCTTTTCCTATTGTATGTTCTTGGCTCCTTTGTAATTGATTGTGTATGCCTGGGTTGTTGTTTTTTTTTTTTAAGATTTTTATTTATTTATTGAGAGAGAGAGAATGATAGAGAGCATGAGAGGGTGGAGGGTCAGAGGGAGAAGCAGACTCCCTGCTGAGCAGGGAACCCGATGCGGGACTCGATCCTGGGACTCCAGGATCATGACCTGAGCCGAAGGCAGTTGCTTAACCAACTGAGCCACCCAGGCGCCCCTGCCTGGGTTTATTTCTGGGTTTTCTGTTCTGTTCTCTTGATCTATGTGTCTGTTTATGTGGTATTACCATACTGTTTGGTTACCATAGTTTTGTAATACAGTTTAAAATCAGGGAGCATGATGCCTCCAGCTTTGTTCTTCTTTCTCAAGATTGCTTTGGCTAGGGGCGCCTGGGTGGCTCAGTCGTTAAGCGTCTGCCTTTGGCTCAGGTCATGATCCCAGGGTCCTGGGATCAAGCCCTGCATCAGGCTCCCTGCTCCGCGGGAAGCCTGCTTCTCCCTTTCCCACTCCCTCTCTCACTGTGTCTGTCAAAAAATAAACTCTTAAAAAAGAAAAGAAAAAGATTGCTTTGGCTATTTGGAATCTTTGTGAGTCCATACAAATTTTAGGATTGTTAGTTCTATTTCTAGAAAAAATGCCATTGGAATTTTGATAGGGATTGCATTGAATCTGTAGATTGCTTTGGGTAGTGTGGACATTTTAATAGTGTTAATTTTTCCAGTCCATGAGCATGGAATATCTTTCCATTTATTTGTGTCATCTTCTGTTTCATCAGTGTTGTCTAGTTTTCTTTTTTTTAAGATTTTATTTATTTGACAGAGAGAGAAATAGCAAGAGCAGGAACACAAGCAGGGGGAGTAGGAGAGGGAGAAGCACGCTTCCCACTGAGCAGGGAGCCCAGTGCGAGGCTCGATCCCAGGACCCCCGGATCATGACCTGAGCCGAAGGTAGACGCTTAAGACTGAGCCACCCAGGCGCCCCAGTGTTGTCTAGTTTTCAATGTACAAGTCTTTTGTCTCCTTGATTAAATTTGTCCCTAGGTATTTTATTCTTGATGCAATTGTAAGTGGAATTTTCCTTTATATTTGAAATGGCTTTCTTTTAAAAAGGGTCTCGTTGGGTCTTGCTTTTTTATTCTTTAGAATGTTTAGTCCATCGTGTAATTATTGATATGATTGGATTTAGGGGGGGGGGTTTTTGCAGCTTTCGATTTGTCTTTGTTCCTGTGTTCTTTCTTTCTTGCCTTTTTTTTTTTGTTGGAGGCAGGGTGTGTTTTGCTCTATGGATTATAATATACTTAACTTTTTTCTAGTCTAGCTAGAATATTGTGCCACTTTACATAGAATGTAGAAATCTTACAGTCATATAGGTTCCTTTACTTCCCCTATCCTTTAAACCAGGGGTCAATAAACTGTAGCCCACAGGCCAAACCCTGTCCACTGCCTGTGTTATAAAGTTTTACTGGAACACAGCTCCATTCACTCATTTACAGGTTCTCTCTTCTGCTTTTGCAGTGCAACACTGGGCTGAGTAATTGCAAGAGAGACCGTCTGTCCCACACAGCCTGAAATATTTAATGTCTGGTCCTTCAACATAAAGCAGGGGCCAGCAAACTTTCTGTAGACTTGTCATATATTTTCCATCGTCTCTTACAGCTCTGCCGCAAAGCAAAACTTGCTTAAACAATCCTATGTATTTTGAGGAAATTAAAAGGAAAAATATAGTCTTATATTTATCCTATCTGGTATCAGTTTTCCTTCAGCCCAAAACGTTGATTTGTAGTACAAGTTTGATGGGACCAATTCTAGTTTTCTTCTATTTGAGGGTGTCTATTTTACCATTATGCTTGAAGGATCTTTTTGTAGGGCATAGGATTTGGGGTTGATAGTGTTTTTTCTTTTACTAAAGAGTCCACTTTCTGCTGGCCTCCATTATTTCTGAGAAGTCAGTGGTAATTTGAATTCTTCTCCTGTATACAGTGCAGTGTCTCATTTTTTATTCTGACTGTTTCATCTTTGATTTTCACCATTTATGATATTTACAGGTGTAGTTTCTTTGTATTAATCCTGCTTTTTCTGCAGAGCTTCTTCAATCTGTAAATTTCTTTCACCACACTTGAGAAATTTTGACAATTACTTCTCCATTCTTTCCTGTCTATATGGGAATTTAATCACTCATACCTTTTGATATTGTCCCACAGGTCCCTCCCTCATGTCCCTCAGGCCATATTTACTTTGGTTGCAGTCTTTTTTCTGTGTTTTCTGATTGACTAATTCCTATTTATTACTTCACTGATTTTTTTTCCTGTTATTTTCATTCTAAAGGCTCTTCTATGAGATTTTTTTATTTAGATATTAGATTTTTTTATATCTAGAATCTGGTTCTTTTTTATAGTTTCTATTTTTCTACTTTTTCATTTCACTCATTTCAAGGATAAGAGCTGCTTTAGTATCATTGTCTACTATTTCCAACATCTGGGTCATGAGCAAGACTGCTTTTATTTTTAGGTAATCCGTAGGTTTACATGCAATTGTAAGAAATAATACAGTTTCCCCCAGTGGATAACATCTTGCAACAATATAGTACAATATTACAGCCAGGATATTGACCTGATGCAATCCAAGCTTATTCCGATTTCCCCACTTCTACTTCATGTGTCTGCCACCACAGTCAAGATACAGAACAATCTATCACTACAGCAATCATTCATTTTGCCTTTTTTTAACTACACCCACCTCCTTCCCTTCATTCTCTTCTCCCAGCGGTCTCTTACAGCTGTCAACCACTAATCTGTTGTCAGTTTCTTTAAATCTTAAATGGAATCAATATAGTGTATAATCTTTTCGGATTGGCTTTTTTTTTTAGCAAAATTCTCTTCAGAATCATTCAGGTGTTGCTTGTATTAGTAATTTTATTACAGTTGAGATCTACTACAGCTTAACCATTAGCCTATTGAAGGACATCTGGGTTGTTTCTACTTTGGGGCTATTATGAATAAAGCTGCTATGAACATTTTTTTGCACATATTTTATGTGAAAATAGGAATTTATCCCAATGCAATAAAATCTTAAGAGTGTGTTTCCAGAGTGGTCATATTTTTCATTCCTACCACTGTTACAAATGATCCAGTTTTTCTGTATCCTCATTGGCATTTGTCACTTTATTTTAGCCATTTCAGTTGGTATGTAGTAATCTCTCATTGTGGTTTTAATTTGCAGTTCCATAATGGCTAGTCAAGAGTGAATGCCTTTGGTGTGCTTCATAAATGTCATATGAGGTGTGAGGTTTTCATAGAAGGTGTGAAGTTTAGGTCACTGAGAATGTCCAATTGCTCCACCATAAAAGAACTATCCTCCACTTAGTTGCTTTTGCACCTTTGTCAAAATTCAGTTTGGCATATGTTGGGGGTCTAATGATCTAGGTCTTTCCCTCTGCAATAGCATCTTTCTTCTTATCTCTGATATTAGGTAGTGATTCCTCTTTTCTTTTTCAAGATCATTTCAGCTTTTCTAGGGCCTGTACCTTTTAAGTTTTTAAATAAGCTTACTTACATGCCTATGAGAATATCTTGCTACGATTTTGATAGGAATCACATTAAACCTACAGATCGATTTAAGTGAATTGACATCTTCACTATGTTCAGTCTTTCAATCCATGAATACGGCATATTAAGTCGTCTTTCATGAACATTTTGTAATTTTCAGTACATACAAGTTTTAGATCTTTATTGGGTTTTTGGATTCTGATTGAGAATGGGTCATGTTCTTCAGATGTGGAGTAATTTTGAATGCGTCTAAGTTGTAAAAACTAGATTCTGTTACGTTCCTTAGGGGAATGCCATTCTATTTGCTTAACAGGCACCCTTTGTAGAGAGTGCAGGATCAAAGCTTTAGCCATACTTGAGCCTCCTCTGCACATCCATGGTGAGAGGGCAAAGATTTGGGCCGATTTCATAACCGAGTTTGAGGCTTCCCCTGCTCCTTCCTGGGATTTCCCACCTCACTTTCCAGTGGCTGTGGTTTCACGCCATTAACACTGCATGTTTTCTGTTGCGACTTAGCCCGCATGATACAGACTTCTCCTTACAACAAAAACAAAAAAAATGAAGAGAAATTCACTCCCTACCCAGTGTCAACCCCTCTGGTATTTGCCTGATCTCATTTCCTCTCCAGTGTCTTGGGGTAGTTGCTTTTAATATATTTGGGTCAGAAGTTGTCATCCAGAGAAGAGTTGAACCAAAAGGCACTTACTCCGTATTTTATGGTGATTCATTTTCATGTTTTCCAGTCTGCCATCTTGCTAGAAAATTAAGTTTTATCACACTTTTAATAAGGAGGGAAAGGTCATTTTGGGTTGGAATATGGTTGTGAGGAAGAGAATTGCAAGGGTTTTAGAGGCAATGTATGAATTTTGGCTTTGACACCGGCTAGTTATATAATGTTAACTTTTTTTAATCTTATCTGTAAAATAAGGACTAAACACCTATCTCACATGTTTAAAGATTAAAAAAATTTAAAAATTGACACTGTCACTTCTTAACCATACCTTTTTTTTTTTTTATCTTTTTTTAAACATTCTATTATGGCAAATTTCAAACGTATGACAAAGAGAAGAGCATAATGGACCCAGTGGCCCATCCTCCAGCGTTACCAGTTATCAGTATGGCCAACCTCATTTCGTCAATTTCCCCATCCATCCCTCTCCCCCACCCCCCCTACACAGACTGCTTTGAACCAAATCCCAGACATCATATCATTTCATTTATAAATATTTAATTTCAGAGTTTTATTCTAATATCACGACTTCTTAACCATACCTTACAAATGAAACCATTATCAAGATCTGAGCTGGCCCCATTCCACCTGAGCTATAAATTTATTTTTCTGATAAAAGGTGAGATTTTTGTCACACAGGTTCTGTTCCCTAAATGTGATAAGTGCTAAGTAGCGTACCTTAAAAGACAAATTTTAAGTTTTTTTCTGGTTAAAAAGCACAGTCAAGGAAAAATGAACAATGTTTTTTTTCCCTTTTATAGGAATCCCCTCCTCGAGTAGAAAATTACTGTCTACCAGAAGCGATTTCATTTCTTCCGAATAATAAGGAACCTGGGCCTGGATTATCACAGAAGAGGAAAGCTCCTACAGAGAAAAATAAAATCAAACGACCTAGAGTAAACTAATCATGTTTACTCTTTAGTCACCAAACATTAGTATTTTAATTATAAAGCCTGAATGTTACTGTCTTGGATTTGCATAGTAATTTAAAGACAAGTGTCTGTAGAAGAATTCAGCTGCAGAGTATAATGATGACCTTGCTTGTAGTTAGTTTTTAACATCTGAAATTTTAATCACTGAAATATTAACTGTTTTACCTGAAACAACAACAAAAATCCTCAGCTAGCTTGTCATAAAACCACATTGAAGTGTGTAGGGGGCTGTTTATTTATTTTCTTAGAAATATCTGAGGCTGTAGCTTAGTGGAAGTTTTAGTAAGGTGATGGATTTTGCCTTAAAATGCCAGCTTTAATTCGTAACAATAAGGAAGTTGTCAATTGGGATTTTTTTCATGTTTTCCCTGCTTCTTCTCACCCCTTTCCCTCTTTTTAACAGGAGCCTGAGTACAAGGTTTAATGAGGAACTGAGGCTTTAAACTTAAATATGTGTGAGTGTATATATGTATATGCATGTCTGTACAGATCTCCATGATGTTTGCCAAGTTTGGGTGCCAAAACTTGGAAAATAAAACAATAAAGAATAAAAGGGACTCATATTAGTTCAGATAAGTTTTTAAATGCAAAGCATTCTGGTGTCCATTCTCTTGTTGAAGCAATAAATGATTTGTAAAATTTAGCTTAAAAAAAATTGCTGGGGCGCCGGAGTTGTGCAGGTGGTTGAACATCCGACTCTTGGTTTCAGCTCAGGTGGCTCAGGTCATGGGATCAAGTCCCAAGTCGGGCTCAGCTCGGAGTCTGCCTGGATTCCCTGTCCCTCTCCCTCAGCCCCCTCCCTCCCTCAAATAACTCTTTTTAAAAAAACTCAAAAATTAATTGCTAGTTATATTTCTGATGTTTGTTACTTACTTCGTGAGGCTATTATATTACTGGGTTAAAAAACCCTTTTACTGAAACTACAAAATTGCATTAGCCTGTATTAATCTAAACCTAAACACCAAATACTATATGTGTTACCACAGTCCTCTAAATGTAAAGCTACCTACCTCATTTTGCTGAAAGGAAGAACCAGAATCAGAACTATGATTTTTTTTTTTTTAACTTATTTCAGTATATTCTCTATCCACTAAACTGCATTTTCCTCTTTGTTTGGGTCTTTGTCTAAGCTGATTGGAAGTACTGAGCACACAGTTGGGTCTTGGCAGTTTCGATCCGGATGCAATAGTCTTGGTGGTCTAGTTGTTGGGGACTGTCTTCTGGGTTCATACTTGCATATACTTCTTGAATTGTTTCAGTTTATCCAAAGAGGAGTCTTCCAGTCTGCCTAAAGGAGGAATCTGGCCACCTTTTTTTTTTTTTTTGAGATACAATGACATATGACATTAATTTCAGATGTTCAGCATTACAGTTGTATATATTCATGACTATATAGGCAAAATTATCACCATACATAATGACAGATTTTCTCTCTTATGATAAGAACTCCCAAGATTGTGTCTCTTACCGACTTTCAAATATACCATGCAATATTAACAACTATAGTCACCATGTTGTATATTACATCCTCAGGGCTTATTTTATAACTGTAAGTTTGTACCTCTTGTTCACCCTTACCCATTTCCCCCAGCCCTCACACCCTGCATCTAGCAACCCCCAGTCAGTTCTTTGTATCTGTCCCATTTGGGGTTTTTGTTTTGTTTTTTGTTTTATTTTGTTGTTTTATTTTTTTAAGATTTTATTTATTTATTTGACAGAGAGCGCACGAGCAGGGGGAGTGCAAGAGGGAGAAGCAGGCTCTTTACTGAGCAGGGAGCCCGATGCAGCACTCAATCCCAGGATCCTGGGATCATGACCTGAGCCGAAAGCAGATGCTTAACTGACTGAGCCACCCAGGCACCCCTGTTTTTTATATTAGGTTCCACTTGTAAGTGAAATCATCTAGTATTTGTCTTTCTTTTTCTGACTTATTTCACTTTGCATCATGCCATCAAGGTCCATCCATGTTGCTGCAGTTGGCAGGGTTTCCTTGGCGGAAATATTTTTTTATGGCTGATTAATCCATTGTGTGTGTGTGTGTGTGTGAATTTTCTTTATCCATCTGTCAGTGGACACTCAGGTTTTCATATCTTAGCTATTGTAAATAATGCTGCAGTGAACATAGGAGAGCAGATATCTTTTTGAATTAATGTTTTTATTTCTTTTGGATAAATACATAGAGGTTGGAACTGTTGAATCATAAGGTAGTTCCTTTTTTTTTTTTTAAGATTGTATTTAACATAGTGTTATTAGTTTCAGGTGTGCAATACAATGATCCAACAGTTGCTCAGTGCTCATCAAACTAAGTGTACTCTTAAGGTAGTTATATTTTTAATTTTTTGAGGAAAAAAATAATGGCTGCATCAGTTTACATTCCCACAAAAGTACACAAGAGTTCTCGGGGCACCTGGGTGGCTCAGTCGGTTAAGCGGCTGCCTTCGGCTCAGGTCATGATCCCAGGGTCCTGGGATCGAGTCCCGCATCGGTCTCCCTGCTCTGCGGGGAGCCTGCTTCTCC